GCACATAATGGGTTTTCACAGTACAAGGTTTTCACTCTCGTTCATTATGACACCTTCAAAATCGAGTAATTTCCATCCCTTCAAGGTTAAACAATGGCCAAGTCCAAGTACCAAGGCGATTTTGAAACAGTTTTTATGCTTCACGTGTTTATTTGCCTTTAACTACGTTTTGGTGTCGTCATGCCGTCCCTGAAATCTTATAACGGATCATTGGTCAATGTTTTGACCTTTGGCACCATGTTTATTTCACGGCTCACGTCCCAAATCTTTGTTTCCAGGCACCTTTAATAAATAAATCTAACTGCTGGGCTGAATTAATGACATAACCAATAATTCCGAGAAGATCGGTCGTTTTGACCTCGACCTTTTTTCACTTTGAAACGCAAGGGCGATAAGACTCAGTTTTCAAAGACGCGGGTCGTTTGGATGGACGGTTTCTTTAGTTTCGAGTTCGTTGTGTGCCAGAAACATATCACTGTGGTTTTTGGTGAATATAGAACATGTTCTATTGAATGATCTTGCCAATCGAACAATTTTAACAATACCTTACTGGAACGTCTCCAGTTTGGATAGCCCTCTACTCAAAATGAACTTCGTATTTATTTTTTTTGAGATTTTATTATTACCATTTGATTTTTTACCTATACTTTTATGTATTTGTCTTTAATATTTATTTTTTATCATTAATTTTAATAAGGTTAGTATTTTTTTTCTTTTTCTTTAATTTTGTCTTTAACTTTTATAATTGTGTTTTTTGTGGCCTTACTGGGGGGAAAGGGTAGCTGGTACAGTTTTACGGGAAATAAAAAAAACTTTTTACAATTTACAAGGAAAAAGAAAACGTTTTTACAGTTTACAGTGAAAATTGAATGTTTACAGTAAAGATTATTTTACATTTTACGGAAAATTAAATTCTCCGCCATTGCTGCGCCGTGTGTAGAGACGCATGCGCATATTGCCCTCGTAATGCTCTTCATTCGGTTAGAAGGCCTTTTACGTCTTGACATTCAATTTTGCAGTGAATTGTGTCATCTAGTCGTTTTACAGTTTCGAAAATCCCTGGATTATTCTTTACGACTTTTTTATTTGGATGTAAATTCTTGTACGTACCGAGAAAAATTACACATTTTTACAGTGTACGAAAAAAATGTTTGATTGATTGATTACGCTGTACGTCTAGCCTGTGATTACAGAATTACGGAAAATATTTTTTTTCAATTTACGTTGTACGAACACAACAATATTGCAATTACACTGAACGAAAATAACCCTTGCCCCCCCCCCCCTACTGCTGTACTTTCTAAAGTCAGTGTTGTCTCACATTTTAATGATAGTGGGAATCGAAGCAAATAGATGGAAATACCATTTACATCACTCAGGAAGATTGACTTTCCGAATACTCTCCAGACTAGCTATATTTAGTGTTCTTTTCGATGTAATCTATCCACACTCGCCGCTCTCAATTTCTATGATCGCTGCTGAGGACGGCAATGAATTGGTGTGGCTCTGTGACTCTATTGACACGTACGGTCAACTGACTTGTAGCTTTATTTTTTACTATTCTGACGTTTTCCTGATCGCATTTTGTATATTCACAATAAAATTTTATGCTTTCGAAAAATCCGATATTTATGCAGGAGTACACAGTGCACAGGGCAACACACAGTCCTGGATATGATATACTTCAAAGTGGAAATAATATACCTATTTAACCGTTGTTATTGCACGAAAGTCCACGAACACAAAATAAACAATCGTCAAAAAAACTGCCAAGCACACTACACAGTGTATTCAAATCAGTAAGAAAAACATACTATAGACCCCATGGTACAAATGAAAATGTAATATAAAATAAATATCAGTGAATACATTATTTGTTTTTACAAATCCTGCAGCCCGCATGGACCCCCGCTAGTTTTGAACTTTAAATCTCTTTTATTAGGATTACCGCATGAAGTTACACAGATAGAGGGAAATGTCTCATGGTACTAAAAAATAATGCTTTCTTTTATCCAAGTTATATGATAAATATAAGTGAGTGTATTTATTAAAATATGCAATCACAGTACACATGCAAAATTAAAACAAAATTATGTGAATTTGGATTTATTAAAAATTAGCCGAAATACTGTAACATTATAGTCTATTAGGTCACGTGGTGGGAGTTTCCAATCCAGTTTACAAAATTGTGAACAAATATTTGCGTAAATAAAACTGAAAGCGAAAAACGCTAATCTCAATCTTTCTGCTTTGCAATTCTCATTTAGTGTGTATCATTTATGCATCTAATTACATACCTTATATACTTTGTATCATGTATGTCAATGTATTAATATTTAAGTGCAGCTCATTCTATTGAAATGTGGATACACTTTTCTCAGATTGGATTACACACTACTGTATAACATATTGCTGCTATGTTTGTGTAGTTAACCATGCAATGTATGAGGTGGTATTTCTATCCATAAAAGTATTAACATATGTTTGTAAATTATAGTACCTATCACATTTATTTACATGTCATTTATATTTTCACGTCGTTTTACCAGTAATTACATTTCACCTAATTCATCGGGCAAGTATAAATGATTACAGAAAGACAATTACAGAACCAATTTCAAGTATTTCAAATTACATTACAGTTTTGTGAACTGAACACATGGCTATGTGTGTCAGACCACTCACTTATCAGGGATAGAAAACATCTTCATCACAAACTTGATATAAAACTAAATGTGTACATGTTGATACTATCCAACTCAGTTTACCCACCGTGAAGATTTCGGAACAGATTTCCTATTAAAAGTTATATGCAATAACTTGACATTGTATACAAATCATGCAATCCGGCGATTTAACTAAATTTTTTAGCACATTGCAAGGAATTCTACTCATGCAAAGACTTATTTATATCTAGAATTGTCGATAATGGGCACAACTATCACAGCTGTGAACATTACAAACAAACAGGAATGCCTTGCCATATTTCTGAATTTATCAAAAAAATCACATTTTCTTATCTAATATACATCTTTCATTTTTTTGCAGTTTCAGACAAATGTCATCAGAACATTTATAGCACTGAAGTGTTACTGAAGAAATATTTTATATTGCAATTCATTTTTGTTGTATTGCAATACATTATACTAAATTTTATTTCATTGTTGAGAATGATTTACAAATTTTTTCATACTATGATTTTTCATAGTATGATATAATTAAATTCCTAGTTGTCCAAAAGTGCATATGACCTGACTCCCTAACCCACTCATGTAAAAGAGAGCACTTTGATGATTCACTCAAAGATCATAAAGTATCAGATTTACATAAAGCAGGTGCGCAGGAACCACCTCGGGAAGATGGCGACCTTCTTGGTGACCTTTATTGCCCATTGTCCTCTTATGCTACCCCACTCCATAATGACATGCCATGCACTTGTTCCATCAATTTTGGGGAGATGTGGCATAGCTTGATGAATATAATTATTTAATTTTTGTTTATTGACATGCTCAAGTTGATATTTTTAAAAACATATTATAAAATATATAATTATGAACATAATATATATGAATTATGTAGTATACATCCGGGTATTTTCATCGATGAACCATGACTACCCCTACATGTGCATATAATATTAGCTGCTCAGAATTATCTCAAAGTTGAGTTTGGATTTTTTCATCGTCTCCTTGACAGGCGTTCCTCAGCAACTCGCACATATCCATAACAATACATTGTACAATGGGGCGCGTCGAAGCATCATAGAACGTTTTGTGACGTAGCTCCTCCCGGGTATAATACAATTTCATTACACTCATATTTGTGCCGCAAATTACTTTATTTGGATATATCTGGCGTGATTTGATGTATTGAGAAGACACGTAAGGGACAAAGACCTACTTAACAAAAGCGTTATATTGCTGTTGCTTTTTTGTATGACAGCAAATAGTAATAGATTAGGAGTATAAACAAGCGGTAACGAAACTTTTCTCGTCCGATTTGTACGGTCTCAATTCATGTTCGGAAAAGCTGTATTTAATCTCAGTTAAATAAAAAGATTTCCGTATGCACGTGTTGAAAGTGCCGGAAAGGTCCCGGCGGGAAGTTCGGGCCTGCTCGGGGCTATATGGGTCCGCCAAATCGGGCCTAGGGCGGTGTATGGGAGTGGTTGTATCAAGAAGGGCCAGCAGCGGGCGCAGCAACCCTGTGAGTTTATTCCTGGGGGCATATTGCAAAAATTAGCATTTTAAAGGGGACCTATGTGCCTCCCGCGCGGGTCCGCTGTAGAAGGTGACAAACACCTCTGTTTCCCGCTAAATTTGAAACTCACATGGGGTAGTAACGGCATATAAATTACACCCCCGGATTTTTCGTGGAAATGCGTCAGTGCACGCGCCGTTGTGTTTGATTCAATATACAGAGAGCGCAAGTTTATAGTGGGAATTCTGCTGCTAAGGTATAATAGTGGCATGAAGGTTGAATTAATGGACCCTGGCTATTGAAGATACAAAAATCTTAAATGAGCCACTAGCCAAAAAAGGCTAACTGACTAATTTGCACTGAGGGCGAACACTCGATATTTTACAGTTTCTCCTACTAAATACAATATACACTTTACTTCAGTAAGATCACAAACTATGTGACCTCACTGCAAGCACTTGCATCTTTCGATTAGAGAGTAATCATCACTGATATCCCCTAGAGATATCCCTGAACAGGCAAAAGCAACTTACATTGCAACTATTGCCACGTGGGCTTTAGATGTCTTCGCGTCACGGTACTCAACAGCCAGCCAATCAATCATCCATGCGTTCCTTAGTACACTGTATGTTGTGAAATGTTTTAAAATAATGTAGCGTTGCTCCGCTAAGGCAATCGACACACGCGCTTTTTTGTTATCATATATCGCGTATAACAGAGACATCACCAATTATGAGTATTGGGCTGGTATGATTTATTTATTTATTTATTGATTAGTCTCAAAACAAATTTCCCATGGATAGCTGTCTAAGTCGGGTTGTTTATTGGTGAAATTATTTAGTGTCATTGGAAGTGTAGTGAAAATATATAATAATATTATCCCAACAATGGTCAAATATAAATACAGTATAATATGCATTCATTGGACGGAGTATTGAATAATTTTCTTTATATTACTTCTTCCTTGGCGAATATGGCCAGTATGGACCAGTTGTCTCAAACTTTCTGTAACTGTTTTCGATCTTGAATGATTCGCTCTTACCATCGCACGTTGTTTGAATTTCAAGCAGCTGTGATTTGAAGGGATTAAACAGGTAAAGAACCTGATCCTTGCAGGTATTGGCAGCCAGAGCGCAGACAGCTAGTTTACCTTCGATGAATTCGTGTGTCATCTCTATAGCAACGGGAGAACGTTCTTTGACGTGAGACACTTGGAGAATCATTTTGTCACGTGACAAGGGTTGAACGTCGGCAAAATCTGTAGATGAAACAACACAGTTGTATATCAATGATACAGTGAATGACATAACGCTGGGGGTCATCATAAATATTTCACAAACAGACATTTTCTATAACTCAAAATTGATTTTAAAATTCACATTGACCAATCCGATAATGGTCTGTGACGTCATCATTAGTTCTAATTAAACATTATCCAATCAGAAAGCGTCTCATTCTGAATAAGTGAACTTTTGCAGTGAAATGAAGGCATTATGGTCATAGACGATGTTTAGCTCTTGAGCCAATCACTGTTAAGTATTTGAATTTGAATGAGAGCTTATGATCGGTATTAATTTTCTTCAGTACGTTTATAACTTAGCTAAGGTACAGCTATATGCAGTTCATCATGATTGTAATAGGAAGAAATAGATTCATAACATTATTAAATACAATTACTATTTACAGTGTTCAGAATGCCATACTAGGCTCATAAAATTATACATCTTGTTATATTACAGGTACAATTGTAAAGCTACACGAGTTACCAAAACGCTGTTCTTATACGTCGCGCCCTCTAACGAAGAATCATTTGTATGACGTCAGTTGACTGTGTGCCAGTGTAGTCGTTCGTCGAAAAGTCAAAACATTATTTTCATTTCATTAACTAAAAAAATATTGATAAATATTGTGATGTGTTGCCATGGATATTTACCGTTTCCCTCGTTTTTCATCCAGGTTCCATCAGTTACATTAACGCACTGATAAATTTGCCGAAACTCATCTTGCTGCCCTTTGATGATGTTTTTCGCCGTTTCCAGCTCAGCTCTAAGTTTGGTGCACAGGGATAGTGATGCCTTTGTGATATAAGACAGCGGTACAAGTTCTGTCTCGTATGCTCTACGCAATGTATCTTCACTAAGTCGACGGAAATCCACAAGTTCTAGAATTGCCTTTCTCCCATCCACGGGTATTTCGGTTCCTATGGAAACAAAGATAATTGTCATTCCATTATAACGAAGAGTCGCATAATAAAACAGGTCGTCATATATTTGATATATATGACAACCACAATGAACCACGGGTCGTGCCAATGATTCACATTCAGCTTCGATTATTATTATGAACTATTTGAATTCTACTCTTGGTCTATACAATCAGTTCTGATGTCAATGTGTAGTGCGCTAAAGTATGATATATGGTTGTTGTCTAGAGTGTTATTAACGGTTTTTATAGAAGTTATTTTTCTGCCGTTTCTTATTCTAACACTTTTCTGTTGGTTCTTTTTTTAGCTTCGTTTGTATCTGTGTATTAGTGATATACTAAGAATATTACCTATGTACACATTGCGAGACAGAAGGCGGTGCATACATCTCACACTGCCTTCACGGTTCAAGACATTAACAACAAGAATATGATTTTTGTCGATCATGATGATTTATCTCTACCGTGTGCTGTTCACGATTGGGGTCTACTTCTAAACATGAAAAACCGTGATATTAATTGGATTTTACAACGGCTTGTATAATTAAAAATACAGGCAATTGAAATGCTGATATTATATAATGTATTTAGCTTTAAAATGGATATTTGTAACTGCAACGAAAACATCAGTAATTCGCGGGTGATTTTTCCTTTTTTGTCCGGAATTGGTAATATTTTCAAATTCACCACGGATTCAGAATAGATAATCTATTTTACACCAAATATTATCGGAGATAGTGAAAGATAGTCGCCCTTACCTGATTTGAATAATAATTCGACAACTTGAAATATTAAATCATGACTTGTTCGGAAATCCACTGGTAGACAAGTTGCAAGTTTCATGAACACCTCCGTGGAAAGTGATTGGTCTAGAGCAAGGGAGTGCAAGTAGCGGTCGATGACGTCACATGAAATATCGGGAATACATTTCTCGCTGTTGCTTGCATATTGTACCAATTCACGCAGCAAGTTCGGCGGAAACTGCATCAGGTCTCTCACTGTGAATTTTCGCAGCATATTACTGGCCAGTTCAAGAATAATTGATTGGCTTTTACATTTTTGTGTAGCCGTTTTAAGCACAGTTATTACCCATTCTGTATTAACAACAGCTTGCAGCGCTTCGGCGGCAGCGGGTAGCTCTAACAAAATACCATCTATTGTGTCATACATGTCCAGTTGGTTTTCTTTAAGAACGCTCCAGACATATTTTCTAGCCAGCAACGCTAATATTGTGCTGGAAACACCTCGGTCACGTGACATAATTAATAACTGTAGAAACCAACAGAGGGGGATATCAGTGAGTTTATCGAGTACACTGTCAGAAATTGCATCTTTGGCTTTTTTACATCCGTCCTCCATTTTCCAGACTTCTACCAGAGCGTCTATGCACTTGCCGGTAATGTTGGCTTGTTCAGCAACGGGTCCTACCGAGCAACAACCTCGTAATATCTGCACTACGGATTCCATTGACGTCATCTTGGCCGTGTACATGACGTCATGCAAATATTCATCAGTCTGGTCGGACAGGTTGCCAGGTGACGTCATCTGTAGGTACTCCGCCGCGCATCGTAACTGAGCAACATTTTTCGGCGAGACCTGTATATCTAAGTTGTAGCAGAAGTCAGCAACCGACGAGAAAGTGGCGGCTCCACCTGGAAAATCGTTGAGCTCGACATGATTTGAGTCGTTCATAGAACTCCGCGCTAAAGCTTTAAAGAAATCGGATTTCGTATACAGAGGGAATTTGTGCAGCATGAATGTTTGTTTGTTCACGATCACTGTGATGTCGGACAGTTCTCCGGTCACGCGATACTTTTTAAATTCCATGATTCCAAGCCCCGGTAAAGGTGTACGTAATGTTTACCGTTTTCTAACTCGCCAACTTCGATTGAATACATACTTAAAACAAGTCTATCCTCGTTTTGATGTCTTGAAGCTTATTGAAAAGCTCCAATCATTCACTAATCCAATAAAAGACCTTTGTATGGGTTTCCAGGGACCGTCAAAGAGACAATACAAGCGGTGTCAGGTTGGACAATAGAGACAAACAATAAAATGCTCGTATTTTACCTCAATGACCGTAGCTAACAGTAACTACTAGTCAATTGAACTGAACCAATATGTGTAAGCTACTCAAAGAATGATTCCTCGAAGGTGTTCGAAATATACAGCGAGAACCCCTTCATAATACACTTTATCTCATAAATTGCGCCCTCTAGCGACAAAGCGCTTCAGCTTTATCGTATGATATATGGTCGTCCGTGCTATGTGTTTTTTTTTCCACACTGCAGAACAAAAGTAAACAGGGTGACATGAAGTCTGTATGATTAACTGTAGACATTTATTCCTTTTTAACATTCTGCAGACGCGCAATTTGTTTTTATGGTTAACTCATTTACAGTCTGTTCATTTGTTTATTGTTATTTATTGTTCACGACTATTTTTTGGTTTTCATTATTAAGTATTTTATATATCTTATCTCAGTAGTTATACGTCATGAATAAACAAAAATAACAATGAAAACATATAAAGATTAAAAAAAATTGAGCCAATACCTGCATCGAATTTTAATCACGCTGACCACTTTATTATCATCATCGTAGATTTTTAGTTTACATTATAAGTTTTTAGTTTGCATTTTTAGTTGTTTACATTTTTAGTTTTTAGTTTACATTTTTAGTTTGCATTTTTAGTTTACATTTTTAGTTTTTAGTTTGCATTTTTAGTCTAAATTTTTAGTTGTTTACATTTTTAGTTTTTAGTTTACATTTTTAGTTTTTAGTTTGCATTTTTAGTTTACATTTTTAGTTTACATTTTTAGTTTACATTTTTAGTTGTTTACATTTTTAGTTTACATTTTTAGTTGTTTACATTTTAGTATTTGTTTGAGCTCTGTAACCAAATTTAAGACCCATTAGTTGGATACTACAAGCTAATGATTTTTCTTTGTCATATAAGCTTCTCCATTGTGAGTGTGGTTGTAAAGATATCTCTTGATTGTGGAAAACAATCATCAGTTCAACCCCTAACAAATCATTTTAGATGGGGTTTAATTGGGATATTAATTTCCGAGAAAAAATTATTGATTAATTTTAAAGTATGCTTTCACAATTCCGTGAAAAGGATCCTTCTTAGATCTACTTCATTTACTAGTTTTTTATTTTTAAACTTAAATGAGTATAAAATTTTATGTTTTCTAATTCTTGGTCGTTTATTTCAAGTTAAAACATAACTTTTGATTTTTTAATCTTTATACGTAGCTTCCAGTGTGGAATGATTGACATTGAATTGTGAATGCACATGTGCAAAAATTTCAGTATTTTTACGAGATTAACTCTCTCTATTTCCGATATTAGATTTACGTTCATATACTCACCACAGTAGGGGCTGCATTAAACATACTATGATAGTTATATATATTCATGGATATTTGATATGTAAATTTGTCAGCAATATGCCTGTGTTATTATATTTAGGATAAATTATTTAATTTAGAGAAAGAAAGTAAGCAATCCCCATTGCTTGAGTTTTGAGGGCTAAAGCCATACATACACAAAATTATAGTGAAAACATAACGAATTTCGAGTTCAGTCTTATTGCAGTTACACGGGTTACACAAATTGATTGCCTCTCTTGATGCCATTATACCTGCCCTTTTTAATTTGAAGCTTTTGATAGGCAGAAACTCTAAAAATGCTGACAATGGAATTTTTCTTTGAATACCTTATAAATACTCATTCCAATTTACAAAAAAAGAAAAAAAAAGTCAGACCCGAACAATTACAGAGACCGCCTCAGCAAATTGTTTGCCGAAATTGTAAAACATCGATCAACTATATATTTGCAGTCACAAAATCATTATAAAACAACAAACAGGCTTCATGCCTAAATTTGGCCCAAGAGATCACATTTTTGTTTTAAAGCGGTTACTTTCGAAATACGGCAAATACATTTTTAGCTGCTTTATTGATTTTCAAAAAGCATTTGATCCACTCTGGCACCAAAGCCTCCTATACAAACTAACAAAAATGTTGGTTTTATGAAATAGATGAATCTACCGGGGAATATACACTGGCGGATCCAGAAATTCGGTAAGGGGCGCGCTCCTCCGGTGGGCTGGGTTTGTCATTTGATTTGTTATTTTTTTTTTTTGCGGGCTGAAGGGGGAGAGGCGCGCGCCTAGTGATTTAAGAGATATGGCTCTTGAAGCCCAATTATTAAAACAAAATGGCCGCCAGTCAGCCATTTTGAATCCAATCTAAAAAATAAAATGACGAGCAGCAGGATCCCGTAATGTCTAATGTATGTACCAAGTTTGAACGAAATCCACCCATAAATGGGGCTAATCTGCACTGGCTCGGAAGGTTGTAAATGATTAGCTAGTTTGAATTTCTAATTTGCATAACATTACTGAGAATGAACGTGCATTCAACGCCACAAGTTTTTTGTTTTTTTAGCCAATCAGAATTCATCTTCCGAGCCAGTGCAGATCAGCAGCATAAATGCTTGATATTTTATGATTTTTAGCACAAAAATGACCACCATTTGGCCATTTTGAATAGGATAGTCAAACCAATATATCTGTTTATCTATGACATGATGTATAATGAATATTTAAAATTTGAAAATATTATCAGTCAAAACAAGTCGGAGATATGGGTCTAAAAGCCCATTCATTAAAACAAAATGGCCGCTAGACAGCCATTTTGAATCTTATCTGAAAAACAAAATTATTTGCATCAAGGTCCCATAATGTCTAATGCATATACCAAGTTTGAACAAAATCCATCTGTAAACAGCCGAGAAATGCTTGATTTTGATGATTTTTAGCACAAAATGGCCGCCATTCGGCCATCTTGAATCAGATCGTAAAACAAAATGATGTGCATCAAGGTCCTATAATGTCTAATGTATATACCAAGTTTGAACAAAATCCATCTGTAAACAGCCGAGAAATGCTTGATTTTGATGATTTTTAGCACAAAAATGGCCGCTATTCGGCCATCTTGAATTAGATCATGAAACAAATTGACGTGCATATGTATAATATCATGTATGATGTATGCACAGGGAGCCCAGGAAATATAATCAACTGTAATACGTAGTCTTTATGAGCGGGGGGGGGGGGGTATCGGCTGGTATCTAGTGTAAGAAATAATAGACAAGGGATGAAGGCTCCAGCCAGCTCACATTTTTTAAACTCGAAAAAACAGACGAAAAAAATAAAAAATAAAATCGAAAAATAAATACCAGGTTGAAGAATATTAGTTGCTCCTTCGAATTTCGCCAAAGCCTTACTTATATTTTACCGATATCTGCAGAATAAATCAAGAAAACTACACAAATTGACTCCATTTTAGAATTCTTAACGGTTAGTCCGAACGCACGACACCGTTGGAGGCGTGGCCTGTTCAGCATTTGTCAATAACCAATCACAAGACTGGTTACGAACCAGTTGAGCAAGGCTAACCGAGTCGTGACCTCGATGTGGTTAGTACCTTCCATGCTGTGATGTATGTGTGAAGTTTGATTGTGATTGGTCCAGGCATTTCTAAGATACAGGTCCGGACGGACGCACGCACGCACACACGCACGGACACACGGAGGTCAAAACATAAGTCCCCGTTTTCGGACTGCGTCCGAACGGGGACTAATAATGTTCATGCTTGGAAATAAGGACAAGAAAATTGTTGTATACAAGATAAGATAATTTATTGACATTATTCTTTCTATAGAAGATGAACATAGTCAAGTGAAATAAAAAAAAAAAAAAGTAAAAAGGATAATCAAAAAATTAAAATAACAGATTAATTAAAAGGCAATTAAAAGGTAGTACAGAATCAGGTGTTTTATTAATACACACCTGTTTGCATTATAAAAACACCAAGCTTAATGTGGCAGTTTGTCATAATGTAAATAAATTTATCGGGATGATCCATTGAAGTAAAATTAGGATTATCCTTATGTAAGTCTGTAAAAAGTATCTGCCTCATTTTATTGTGCTGTGGGCAGTCCATAATGTAATGGTACTCGTCCTGAACTGAGTTATTGTCACATCTTGTGCAGATTCTGTGTTCCAGTTTTGTTTTTGGTCTAGTATATCTCCCTTTCTCAATCATAAGCTGATGGTCACTAATTCTTAATTTACAAATATATTTTCTATATTTTGAATTATTCACATCCATCAAATACTTTTCCATTTTGAAGTTTGTTTAAACTTCCTGTAGTGCGAAGTTTG